GAAAACAGATTGCATCCTGCTTTTCGGTTTAAGTTGATCTGCAGCAACGTAAAGGGCAAAAGGTGTTTTCCTATGACTACTAGCATTGTACTCATTTGGGCATTCCACTGGAAATGCTATTTCCCCTACCAACTCATATAGGGATGGTAAAAAGTTGGAAACTTCTTCCCAGAGAGTTTATCTTGGCAGCAGCAGAGAGGAGACTCTATATGGCAGCCTGACTAGTAAAAGACAATGCAGGGTAGTGACAATTAGTGCTAGAAATTCTGTAGAGAAATCGTACCACCAAGCATCCTGTCTTTCTGTGGAAGTGGACGAGAGTGGCACAGACCACTCCTGTTCCCTGAATGCGGACAAATGAAATACAAGCAAATATTGACTAGTCTATCCTTTGAACACACTTTAGGAGGGCAGATGAATTTAAAATCACAGTTAAGAAAACTGGGGCAACTAAAAGATAAGCAGCTTGTCCCGAAATGCATTCAGAGGATGTCAGAGCAAAGATGCAAGCAGCAGATTTCTTTACATGGCACAGAACAAACGATAAAAACAAAAGGAAGGATTATGATTTAAATGTAATTTTTGTTAAGTAAAAGGAGAGAATTATTCCAAACAAAGTATATATTTTGTACTTCTTAATGGATAGAACACCACAGCTTTATATAGAATGCTTTTATTTACTCAAGTCTACCCAGAAAACTTCACTGGACCTTCAGTCATTGTTCTAATAATGTCATTGTTCTAATAAAGGCTCATTATGTATGAAATATAACTTCATCTGGCTTGAAGTTGAACAAAGAAATGCTCCTTTAATGATCTTAATTATCTTTCATATAAACTCAGAGATGATCCTTAGAGAATTCAATGTGCCATCATTAAAATTTGTAGACAAAGCTATTTTGTCTCACACCCAGCATTTTTGACATACAACCCCAGATGCCTGATTTAAAATGCATGCATCTATGTCCTCATTCTTTATCAAATTACCTGACACTTACTTTTTAGCAGACCACATTGACTTTATTCTCTTCAATTCTTACAAACTCATATATAAACATATAAATAAATAAAATAAACACGAATCCTCTGTTGATTTCTAGAATCTAACTTGCTTTAAAATTGTCATATTGTTCTCGGTATCTGGCCTTGGCTCTCCTACCTTGGGTTCTCATCACTTTCTAAACTGAAAATTATAAAGTGCAACACTGCACTAACAGTGAGCCGTGAAAGTAGGATCACTTGAAATGAATTGTGTACTTGCACAGGTCCAAAGTTTTAGACAGTTGTTTAACCTTTAAGATTCATTTTAGAAAAATCACTGTCTTTGCATAATATCCAGAGTATAAATCGGGTAATAAAAGTCTTCCCTATTCAACCTCCTCTCCCCCAACTTTTAAAATCATGCCATAGGATCTGGATCAGAAATGAACACTTTCAGCTACTTGGAAAGATGTTAGTCACAGAAATATCTCATAAAATAAGCAGTGCTCAGCTTGGCAAAGGGTCTATATTTGCTTTTTGCAAGCAAAAAAAGAAAAAAAAAAAGATTTTACTTTGATTCCACAGGATTACTTAACTGTTATAAAACCCCACGTTCCACGCACTTTAGTGTGCTATGCTGAAAGTCTTTGCCTTCACCAACCAGGCTCAAAATTTCCATCATTTATGCTTATAGTGGCCTAGATACCAGATATTTTTCTAAACCCACCACGCAATGGATGAGATTGTTAAACTACAGTACAGAATAACTTCTGCCATAGTGTGGAAAACTCACTGTTTTTCATCTTTGGATCAAATTCTGCAACAGCTTCTTTTTATTTGGCAAAACGTTTTATATCCCAGAATCTCTCTTTCTGTAAGGATAAGCAGAGAAATTCTACGGTGTTACATTACACTACAGATAACATTACATTTTGAAGAGGGATTTTCACTGAAACAAAGTAGGTCTTGTTCGTTAGGGCTTTTGAAACTTTCCGTCAGCATTCCCATTCTCACATGCCTTGCTAAAACTAAAGGATTCACGCTTGCCATCTAGTGGCTTTCAGCAGAATTAGAAGCAATCTGTTAACAAAGATTTTTTTTTTTTGTGCTAAAAGATGGTTGTTTTAATTTATGGTTATGTTTGAAAAATCAAAAAATTGTTCTGGACTTGTACCTGGGAAAGAGGATTATTCCCTCCATATAACCATTAACTGAACACGTAAAAAACCCAGAGAATTGACGCACGGCCACTGAGTCTCCTGTGAAAAGAACAGCCACGGTTACTGCATTTGAGCATGTGATAGACTCGCACCGACTGGGAGAGAAGGTTACTCTGAGGACCCTTCATATCCCATGTGTCCTTCCTTATAGCAGTCCTGGAAATCCGTGAGACAATCCAAGCAGAGCACAAACATTCTTTGTTTGCCTTCATTAAAATAAAATTGTTACCTGTTTGCAAAAAAAGGCTAAATAAGATTCCATGGGGGCCGGTAGGACCATCTGTTTCCGTTCTGCAGAAAATGTGCGTACTTCAGAGTAGATGGTCATTAAATACCAAATAGAAACAGTTCAGCCTAGAACCTCCCAAGCACCCCCTTCCAGCTGAATGGCCTAATCCCTAGGTTGTAGTAAGGCTCCGCATTTTACGTTCTTTGTTTAGTTTCATTTATTTTGTACTCTTGGATATAAAGGAATGTATCTTCAACAAAAGGAGCAGAAAATTCTTCCCTCCAAAACAAACACAACCTGTTTCAAGGTGATTCTCTTCAAAGATTCAAAGTCTTTAGAATCTAAAATTGTGTTGAACTAAAATTCTCAAGAGGAAAAAAACACACCAAAATGCCCATTCTATGCAGGGAATGCAGGGCAGTACTTTCCACACAACTGGAAATCAGGGAGAAATAAGCCTCCCTCATTGTGTGAGTTTTCTTTCTGGAATTACCATCTAAAACAAATCACTCAGAATTAGTTAACTAGGATTTTAATAAAAGATTAAACTATTGCCAGCCATAGCACAAATCCATGTATTAGCAAAATTGGACATACTAAAAATGGTCTCTAAATTCTGCTCAACTCTCAAGAATACTAGCGTGGCCTAGTTTGAGTAGAAATACTTAGAATACCTATGAAATGCTAAGAAAAAGATAAACTACATGGCTGGGGAAAATGACATCATCTCAGATCAAGGACTGAGGAAGGGAGGAAGAGTAAACTGCAGGAACAGCTGGTCTTTGCAGTTTTTATAGCCTTGATACAATCCATGAGTGTACAGAAAGACCAAACAAGCAGTGCTAGTAAGGTCTGCTTTCGAAGCAGAGGAAATGGGTATACCTTCAATGAAACATACACAAGAACTTGCAATTTGTGGAGCCTCTACAGTTCTTAAAGAATCTCAAATCTATGCTTTTTCATTACCATGGAAGTACTCCAGTATCTATTACATGGATCATCAAGACAGGCACACATAATAATATACAACTGTGTTGAATGAATACTCATTTAAGTCTCTAAATCTCTTTACTTTAAAAGCCACAAATCCATTATGGACTAGAGTCTGTATAAAATTTTGCCTTTCAGTAGTCTTCCTATACCTGGCTTTTCCGGAAGTTTCTTCCATGTACCAGTATTTCCAAAACAATGATTGTGGGAAAAATAGAGTATACAATTGCAAATGACTGAATTTGGTACAATCTTCTCCCACCCACCCCTCTTCTTTTTTTGGGGGGTGGATAGGGAATAATATTTAGTAAGTTATTTTCAAAAGTAATACAATGAACAGACACTTAGACAGGCTTAACAAAGAGGCTCTCTTTACGTAAGCATAGATGCCATAAAAAAATTTACTAGCACTTGACAAGTTCTGTGCAATTTTTTAATGCACAGTTTATAGTGTTCATCAATAAAAATAGCTCATGACAAAATCTTTCATCTCATGAATGTATAGTATAACATTGATTTAAAAGATACAAACGCTATCATTAAAGTATTTGCAATACCAACAGCTAGGAGGCATGCATTAACTGGGTATCATCAACTTAAATCTCACTATCTTATTTAAGTAAAATAAAACTTCTAATCTGGAAACTCCCCTAACATTTCATTCTTTCAGCTGACTGCAGATAAAATACTTGTAAATACAAAAGAAAAAGAAGAGTTGACAGTTTTGTAGCCAATATTATATAGGATATGTATTTACCATATAAAAGTTGCCTGTTCCTTTAGGAACTGGATGCATACATTTCCTGGCTTTCGCACTACCAAATATTTTTCTCCACAGATGATTTTTAACTTATGACATGTTTATAAAACACAACAAAAGCAAACTTCATGCATTTTAAAGAACATTTCCTACACATTGTAGTTACTCTTTAGTGAGAAAACATGGTCCACTTTAGTTCACGTCCTTGCAACAACACAAAAAAGTAGTATCACAAAATACAATTAAGTAATCTCTTGATTTTAAGCTTTCGAATCTGATGTAATTAAAAAAAGTAATACTTGATTATTAGATTTCAAGACAAAGAGATGTCAGTATAAACGGTCTGGGCCATCACCGAGCACTTCGAATCCTTCCAGTTTCATGCTTGTTATTTCAGAAGCAATAACAAATAGTGCTTTTATGGCAGAAGTATCAGATCCAAAGACTGAACTTCTGTTGCTATTAAAAATATAAAAGAAATCAGAAGTATAAAAACTGATGTACAGATAGGAAGTTAGTGATTAAGAAATAAGGAACAGAAGTCTGCCCACTTAAATAACTGCAAAAGATGAAAACTGACTTTTAGCAAGAATTTTTTACAATCCTCTTATTGACATTTGAAATAAAGCTTTTGAAAAATATGCTGTAAAATTTCTTAATTGTTTATTAATGAACGTTTTGAAAAACTAGATTAGGCATTCCAGGTTTTTTTAAGGTGTTGACAATCTATTTTACAGATGCATAGAAGTTGCACAGTTTGTATGAAAAAATATGTAGTTTTCAGTGTTAACAATACAAACAACTATAAAACAGTAGAGTATCACACACAGTCTGCAAGTTTCTTTCTTTCTTCAAATTGTTTATCTACTGCAAGTGAAAGAGCCTGAAGAAACGTTGTCATTGTAACACTGGGGGACTGAAAGTAAGAGAACATTTTGTTAGACACACTACAGCAATAGGCATACATAATATTTTACATACAAATCACAGTATTTAGAAGAGAAATATTTGACTTCTGTGTTACAAAATTTTCAAAATGCTACAAAACATAAAACTGTAGGTTTATTTTAAACCAGCTTGCATAGTAAAGTCAAAGTCAAGCTATGCAAAGTCTTGAGTCAATCACTATTACCATGGATTTGCTGCAAAAAAAGGTTTTTAACAAATTAGTATTATTTATAAAGTGGCAGAGGATTTTCTTTTAGCAAGAAATTACCAGAGAACCAATATCAATATTCTGTCACAACATTTAATTAAAAGTAGAATGCTGTTGGACAGGTCAATCCCACCCGTCTTCTTCAACCTTATTTTAAATTATGGGCAGCACAAAATCGTTTCAGTCTACAAAGCTGCAGAAACAGTGCAATTTAGATTAAAAGGGGGATTTAGGCCAAATCTTTTACTTCAGGCAGTGTCCAAATGTCTTCCCACCTGTCTCAAAACAAAACCAAAATAAAATGAATAGAATAAACTTACTTGAATATAAAGTGCATGTGCTAGGAAAGGAAGTTTTCTCAGGACCCGGCCACTAAGACCTTCACTTCTTCTATAGTAAAACAGAGACAAGTGCTGCTTAAATGCTAAATATCCACTGTTAAAGGATTAACTTTCCTTTTTCTGTGATTCTCCCATAAGTTGCTCTAAAAAAACTCAAATCACAATTCAGCAGGTCACTTGCAGCATGTTTAGCAGAAGCAGGAAGTGAACAGACAACTGCAGCCTATGGGAGGCTATACAGTAGAGAAAAGCAAGCAAGGGTACAGAAAGAGCATAGTCACATTTGCCCGCCAAAGCTTACATCATGCCCTTCACATCACTGTGCCATATCTCATGAATCTGGGGGAACGTCTACACTGAAAGGGTATGGTACAGACATAACCTTCCATCCACTCTTGGAAGGACTTGCAAATTTTGTTTTGAAGGCTGGACCTCACAGCTACTGCCTATCTCCTCCTTTCCACCATTTACAGCTTCCTTTACCTCACCTACTTGATATATGTTTCTGTCTCCTCCAAGCACTACTCTGTGTATGTAGAACCCAAACCTCTATGCCTGGAAAAACTTACTTGCTTTTATTCCACTCCTCACTGATTAAGGTTGCATATTTCAGAAACAGAAGGAAAACACACTTTCCTGACTTTATGAATGTTATTTTATTTTGTTCCATAGGGACCAGCACTTTGGAAAAAAATATTGTTTGATATTGTGAATATAATTTTTATTGTTTCAAGAATTGTTATGCTGCAGTGAAAGACTCTTTGCTCCACTAGCATACTCAGCAAATCATAACACACTCCATTTACACTTCACTCCTTTCCCCTTTGCTTCTGTCCACTTGTATCTCCATGCTAAAAACTGATTTAGTAGATTGCAAGACATTCCCAGACACTTTCTTAGCAGGAACTATGGCCATGCTATTTCCGCTAAACTGTATTACAATTCACAATAACCACTGAAACCTAAGGCATCTCACTAATCCAGCCAGCAATTTGTCAAGAAGACTTCAAAGGACAGAGCAGAAACCAGAAGCAGTACTAAGCCAAGCCAGATCTGAGACTACGAAAAGTTGGCAAATCTTGATCACTTCCACTTTTTGTACCCTAGTGGTTTTGCACTAACCCTAACAGAAAAAAATCAAGATGTTTCAGAACTCTAGCTGTTATGAAATTCAATTACTTTTATACATCATTCATTCCATAACTCATTATATATACACAGATATACATGTGTATACACACATATATACACGTGTATACATATATGTGTATGTATACATATGTGTATATATGTGTGTATATATCTAAAATGTAGAATTTCAGAATCTTACCTTGAGATTTCTTTTAGTACAAGGCTTAATCTTGACACATTATTTTCTATGAAGCCTATCATCTCTAGCTCTCTGAGTGTCAGGAGCTGTTGTCGAGGATATATTATTTGACACTAGAAAGAAGAGTTATACACTGTTGTATGAAAAACTTAAATACATTCAAAATTAAATTCAACAGTAAGAGTGGAAATACAGAGAAGGAATGAAATTTGTGTATTTTTATTATTTAGCAAGTACGATTAAAATGTCAAATTTACTAAAATAGGACATTTTACAGTCTTGCTTTCAAAATATTACCTTCATTAGTTCTTCCAAGCAAGAAAGATATATTCTAAATATTGCTGCAGTGGATGGAGGTCCAATGTATTGCTTTATGTCAGCCCTGTCTACAAAGGCCATGTCAATTTTCTCCGTAATATTTGATGTAGTCAGGATAACTACATTGGGATACCTTCAAGATAAAAGCAGATTTTTAGGTCACATGTACAAGAATTATCTCCTTTTGCGACGGGCAAATTGATGCCTTCCTTCTTATAACTCAAGCCATTTCATGCAATAAGCAGTCGCATCATTCTTGTCAGCCAGCAATGACATTAAATGATCTGAAGCTCTTGGCCAGTTATCAACAATCTATTTCCGTGCATAGTCTCTTTCTTTCAGCTGTTTCTCAAGCATCCATAGTTTCTCTAACCCTAGATTACATTAACTATCTAGAGCCTACTGGCATAGTTTCTGCCACAAAAAAAAGATAGATTATGAAAAGACGACTCATAAATTTGAACATTTAATCTACATGTTTTCCATTTCAATTCAGGAGAAAGTACATAGTTTAACTGGCAATGTGACACATTCTAACCGCGGATGACATTAGAGCGAGCTTAAAAGAGAAGTAACATCTTCTCGCTCTAAGAAATATTGAAAGAACATTCTTAACCATAGCCATTTTTAGATTAAGCCTGTGAACTTTTGTGTATGAATAAGCCACTTACCTTTAATTAGCCACAAGACAGGGCCAAATACTAGGGCACCTTTCTTTCTGTGAACAGAGCCAAGTACGCCCAATAAAGGGCAGGGAAGTGGCAGGAATAAAACAAGAGATGGTATGCTGCACTAAATCCAGCACACAAAGCGGACCAAGCATCATTAATGATTGCTTCTAAACTATGTGTTTTGCAAGTCTGTTTTAGATTGACATCCAGAAGCTGTAAATAATGAACGAATTCTTTGTTGATCTTATTTTTTGTCTCTCCAAGCAGATATCATGACCATCTGTCCTGTATCTCTCCCCAGCTTTAAAGGAAGTATACCGTCTGTAGATTTGATTGTTCACTCAGTTACATGCAAAATATTCTGTTGGATTACTCTTTTCACAATTAGCACCATAACAAAGAATAGTTCACTAACCAATTTGGTTTAGTATTCCAAGTAGGAATTAAGATTTAGCAGGAACCCTGAAATTGTCCATTACCTTTTGCTGTTGCAATAATATGAGTTTTACCTTTTAATCTGATCTATTTGTGTCAGTACAGCATTCACCACACGAATAGCATCTGAAGGCTCTGTGCCTGCCTTGAAGGCACTGCGGGCTGCTGTGAGGCTTTCCACCTACAAAAAAAACAACCAACCAACAAAAACAAAAAACTCCACCGAACACCAGAAAAAGCCATAAAAGATTGCACATTTGGAGTGCTGGCAGCAAGCAAATAACCCAGACAATACACCTTCAGATCCTTGTGTCTGGTATCTAAAACTTCATCTTAAAAATCTTTTGTTAAGTACGAATTTACAGGGAGAGGGAAAGGAATGTCAAGGAAGCAAAGTGTATGAGTGAAATTCCTGTTTAGACAGCAGAACGGAGGCTGGTTTTCATTTCAATTAAATTTCAGGGGCAGCAGGGACACACAGACCCGACACCCCCCACCCCCAAATAATGAATACATTAAATTTAGAATGAGCTTCCCCATAGGAACTCCAATATAACAAAACTAATAAGGTACATACTTACTAAGTTGCATATGTATGCAAGTCTGAAGAGAATCTAGACAATGAACTGAACCATAATAATGCTTTTTAGAGCTTTACAACATACATAAGAGCACAATTAATACAAATGTAGGCTACTTTGAAGTTTAAAACAATACTCCACTTGTAAACACAGAGCAGCAAGGGAAGTTCCACCAAGAAAGGTTTCGCTTCATTTTCAACTGGAATTTGCCTGCTAAATCATACTGTGTTCCTCCCAAATCTCTCAAATCTGCAGCAGTCAAGATTAAAATTCACTCTTCTGCACAAAGTTACATAACTTAGAAAAAAGGCATAAAGATACTTTTGTTGTTCTTTACAAATGAACATTATCACAGTTCCCTCCCATCAATTTACTTTCTGCTAAATTTTACACCAATGCTATTAGAATCATACCTCATCAATCAGTACAAATACAAGAGCATCTTTGTCATCAATTAACTCTTGAATCTTCTGGAACATCTTGGTTACAAGCTTGCCACTCTAGAAAGACACCATATGCATATGTTTAACTATTTCCTTATCACACAACTTTCCAAGCCTTACCATATTTAAAGATGGAAATACCTGTTTTTTAAAGTAACTTTCTAATATAGCTTCTATTTAAGTGTTCTCAAACACATTAATTATGCTGAGTAATCTTTGGTGCACACACTTATTTTATGAAACAAGCTCAACAGAAACAGTGTAATTACTAAAACACAAAGTTTACTTAATGAGCTACATCAATACATACCTCAGAAAACCATTTCGAGAAAAGGCTATGGCTGTTTATCTCAATTAACTGTCCATACCTATACCTAAAGTATAAAAGGAAAAAGAAGTATCAACTCTATTGTAAATAAAAGTCAGTGATATCATTAACTTCCGTAAGACTCATTCCCTCCATTTCAACCCTGGAATTCTGTGAATTAGGACTTTAAATTACTTACTTTTCAAAACATAATACCTGTTTGGAGTTTAATTGTCATTTCCAGAAACGTGCCTCACTAGAATTCTTTATATTAAATTGCTATCAGAATTCCTTCATTAGAACAGGTGCTATTTAAGTATAGTTTAAGTACCAGTTACCATGCTAATGGCCTTATTCTTCTGTTCGTGTAAGACTTTGTTCAGTATAGAAAGAACGCATATAAAAGCATGAAGCTTATTTTCATAGCTCTGCATGTATATCCTTAGGACAAAATATCTCAACCACACATTATATAGCCCATGTTTATCACAAATTCAGCTTGGGCTAGAGTCAGATCACTGCAATAATTACACATTAATGTTACACCTAGTATTTTATGTAACTTTTTTTTATATAGATTTGTGAAATTGCTGTGAAGTTTAAGGCTAACTCTTATTACTTGTCTGATATACAGACTGACCTCTGCAGACTGTGGCATTCAGACAATCCAAGTACAAAATAGATTGGGCACAAAGTCACTACCTATTAAAAACAGGCTTTCTTGAACATGAAGATACAAATAGCAGGCTCGATACTCTGTGATGCTTTGCCCTTTAATATTCATTGAAGTACAATGTGAGCACAAACAAATTACTATCGCCACTGGAATTAGTTTTACATACCTGGGCACAAATAATTATGCATTTTAAAAGGCATTAAAATATCTTAACCAGTCTCTCTATCAGATCAATTTTATTGCTAGCCAGGTGCACTATAAAAGAGCTATGAATGTTAGCACTTGGCACCAGTTACTTGAAATCAAATACTAAATATCTTTGGGCTACTAAAAAAGAACAATTAACAATAGTAAACTAAGGTAAAAACTTCCAAAAATGATCACCTGTACGACAGTCGAATTGTCAGCTTCTGAGCCAATGCTTTACAGAGAGAGGTTTTCCCAGTTCCAGGAGGGCCTGGTTTGAAATCAAATCCATAGATTACACAGAATCTGCATCAGATTGTTAATGACATGTAACATCCTTTTAACTACTGTATTTCATTACAGCACTAATTGTAGAATAAAAACACAGCAGACAATGATAGTGAACACCAGGGTATTTTGAAAAGATTGCTTACTTCACTACAGTCCTAGAGCTGAGCTTTGAATTTATGTAATTTTCAATTATTAGCATAGTTAGTGTAATAGTTTGTATGCAGACACCATAAAGTTAAAATACTCAACAGTCACAGAAGCAAAGTGTATCACCCTAGCAGGGCTTATGCTTATTAGCATTCTCAAAAATCAGTGCTATGTTTAAACTTATATCTTCCTGAAACGTACTCTTCTAACATGCAAAACAGAAACACATCATGCCCAGTTTGATCAGCTGTCCACTTCCCAGACATCTTTACCTTGGGGCAACCCAGAGCATCTTAGGAAGTACGCTCTGGGACAAACCTTTTGGATCTGGCTTGACACCCTATGGAAAAGCCACACAGACTTTCTCCAAACAGACAAGTACAAGCATAGTTAAACAGAGTATGAATGTAGGGAAGATGATGTGTGGGTGCTAAAGGAGCTGATAACATCAACCAGATGACAGTACTTTCATTCAAAGCCAGTACTGCCATTATAGCATAAATGTATTTTGCACTACAACAGTTGTAGATTGCCCAGTATTAACTTCTTTGTGATCACAATAAGGAGCTCATTACTAAAATTAAATATATCTATCATATTGTAAGTAGTCTGAAATAGTTTTACAAACAAAAACATCCTGCAGCTTCTAAACTGATAAATAGTTATAACTTAAGAATAATTAACACTCATAACAAACATTTCCACTATGACCTTTTATTTTTGAATACCAGTCTTTATGACAAAATTGTAATTAATCAATAGCAAGCTGCGTTTTGCAAGAAAATGGATTCAGCTGATGTTAATCTCATTTATGGTATAGCCTCCACAGTAATCTAGGACTGATTGAAGATTATGGCTTCACTGAAATAGTAATAACTAAATTAGTGAGAGTACTGCCTTCATACTTGGCAACAGAACACACAGTGTTAATAACACAACACAGATTGATTTCCCAGTTTCCTCAAAAGTTTTTATAAAGCCATAACTAACAATTTTTTTAATACTGCAATAGAACTGTAACTAATATATGGCTCCTAATGTCCTCAGTATCTGCATTATTTTTGCACTTTATACAAAGAAAGCAATAATATCACTTAAAAATGAAAATTAAAAAAAAAACATTGTCCCTGTATTATACATTATAGAATTTAAATTCCTGCAAAACATAGTACATGTGAACATTGATTTGATTCTGACATTACATTTCATCTAAATTTGTATTATAGAGAGAACACTTCTCTGCTGCTTTTGGATCATCTAATTTCACTACACAGAAGTGCAATACAAGTTTTTCCAGAAGGAAAGTATAAACAGATGGCCAATGAATCTACTTGGATTAAGACAGATCATTTTTACCATGCAGCAAAACAACTCTGTTCCATGATATCAGGTTGCTGTCAACATTTTTGTCAGAAAATAGTAACGTTGTCGTCACATAATCAAGTAACTAATTGAAGAGAAGAAAAAGAGAAACACAAATTAGAGACATATCAGCAAATACAACTACAAAGAGAAGCAATCTCCTAATTACGTCTATTGTGTACTCTTCACAAAAAAAAAATTGGGCTCATGTCTTTTAGTCATAGGCAAATTTTCTTTCTGCAAAGGTTGGAAATTCATTTCCTTCCTGCCCTCAGGAAAAAGAATAGCATGTACTGGGCACAAATAGAGTTCCAGAACTTTTACATGAATAAATGAAATGCTTTAAGAAAGTGAGATTATTTTCATTTTCCATCGTCCCACTTACAATGTGTCTTTAAAACACAAGCTGCCCAAGCACAGAGAGTCAAAGACTCAAATTCCAGGTCCTGTTTAGATGTTGTACAGCTATACGTTTGTTCAGTTTGTTGTAGTCCACCCACCAAACAAAGCATTTCCTGTCACATTTTAGTTCCTTTCTACTGAAGCATTTGTATCAGCGACTGCAAGGAATTTGTAGATTGGTTATCCTTCCAAATAAGGGAATTTGCACGTACTTCCCTGAATGCTTGCTTCTAAAAATAATTCTACTTCATTTTAGAATTATCTAGAATTAGAAAAACATGCAATTAATGAGCCTTAAAACAAGGTGCAGTATTTTAATAAAGTGAATTTCTACCCTGTTCTACAGAATATTCATTGTTTTTTTCACGCAGGCTGATGACTATATCTAAAGAAAAAGCGAAAATCTTCTGAGAAGTTTTAAGTTGCTACCAAAACAACACCTCCAGCTGTTATACTTCTGATTTCTGTAAAATAAACCAATGCATATGAAGAAATTCTTCATAATTTGTGGCATGAGCATCACTGAACCCAGTTTCACAGGGAAACTGAGACGTTTTGCAAAGCTGATTTCACAGGCGTACATATTGATATACGTCCGAGATATGATGTTTAATCTCAAAATGTCAACTCTGCCTTCTTTTGTTAAGTGTACATCAGAGAAGTATGTAATTATCAAAAATTATATAAAGATTTTTTGAGCTGGTGATTTCCAAATAAATTCTCCATGGGATGCAGCAAACTTCAAATAGGCTACATTTCAACTCTTACTTCTCCTCAAGCAATTTTAATTGTTATTCATTTTCAACTTACGTGTGATTTTACTTCAGTGTCATATATAAGACTTTCCCAAAGGCCATGGAATTCAGCTGCAAAAGCAATGTATTATATACTTGTTTAGGATAAATCCACCTGGGAACTTGTAATCTACCATTGCAGCACAAAGCAGTTTTCAAATAATCCTTAATTTTAGTTGAGAATAAAGAACAGACATACGAGAGCAATTAAAATATATGGAAAAAAACATGAGAGTTATTTTTCTCAAAATGCAAACACTACTTTCTAACAGACAAATTCAGCAGTTTCACAACTTCTGTTTCCTTAAATAATTGCAAGGAGAAATTAATCTTCTTAATTTCTTAACATGAAAGAAAAAATATCATTCTTTCCACTCTCAATAGGGGATGGACCTACATTTCCCCAGGATAGAGAGCTATGAAAAGTTGGGGTGGGAGGAGGGTTCTGAGCCAAATTTTATCATTCAGCTTTTTTTTTTTTTTTTTTTTTAAACATCAGCATGTAGAGGACAAAAAAAAGCATGTAGCTGAATACCGCATAAAAAACTAAAGTTGTGATTTGGGTATCAATCTTTTCTAGCACTTAGTTTCTAGCTTTGAGCAAAAAAAAGCAAAAAAGACTGAACAATTATAAAACACAGGAATAATGTCGAAGTATCAGACTGAACTCTTCCCAAAGAGAAATATAATGGATAGTTAGGTTTTTCACAACATGGAAAGAGCAAGAAACAGCTCAGAATCAGTCTCTTTGAGCTTAAGCTCACACCTGTACTTCTCTTTCCAGGCACAGAATCAAACTTCCCCAAGCGCAAGATAGTAACAGGCACGCCACGCTCTATTGCGGAGCAAAGCCTTATTCGTCTTTTCAGAAGACACTCTGAGGACTCTAAATCTTTTTAGTTTGTTTGTTTGTTCCAAATATAAGAGCAGCACTGTCTTGGGGGCTGGAAGCCAGCAGTGGGCTCTGGAAAATGAATGTTTAAACTGATGAGTTTCTTGTGGGTCTCCAAATAAAAATTTGGAATGCAGCTTGTGGGGTTAAAAATGTGCATGCTTCTGATTATGACTATACATTTTATTCCACAAGACCAGTTACTATCACCCATCCACAAGTATTACAGAAATAAATGACGTGTTGTGGAATCACCTGTAGTAGTTCAGTCAAAACCATAAAGAAGAAAGTCCAAATATATTGGTTCCATCAACAAAGGACAAAGTTAAACAATATATACAAATAATACCTTTAACAGGTAACCCTATAAACACTTTTAGCCTTTCCAAGTTTTTCTTTCAGTGTAATTGCTCTAGACATCCCAGAAATATCACATGGGTACCTGCTGGTAGCACCCAGTGGTTAGCTGCAATGATATCCTCATTCTCTTCTAGGTTTTCAGAGCTTGGTCCTTCTTCATTCAGATGAAAAATATGAAGAGAAAGACTGCTTTTGCTCAAGTCAATAGGCTAGAATGGACATAAAAAGACTTTTAATGCATTGTATTTCTCATTCAAAGCTAATTATAAGAAAGTTACAGTTCTCAGCTGGCACTCAGTTTTGAAGCCTACTACTTCTCTTTCAGACCTTACTAAGGGGTGTAGGCCTAAAAGCTTAGCCACCTTTTCCTGGTTATACCAGTCGGCCTAATAAAAGATTCTACATTGTCCTACAGACCTCGTCTTGCTTATGCCCTCAGGCTGTCACTAGTCTACCTACAACTAGTTCACAGGCATATGAACAGAGCTGTACATTCTTGACTGTGAATACCTGTCTGTCTTTCAGTTTCAGCTCCGTATCCACAATTGACACAGACTGGACATTGCTGTTAAGGAAACTATCATCAAACTCTGTCCACTTGTAATCACCAAACACGATGTTGTGTCTGTTCAACAGCTTTAAGATACTCATCCTGATATCTTCTTTCTTGGCCACACTAACAAGAAAGAAAGAGCATTATTTATGGCATTGACATTTATAGGAAGTATGAACTAATATCAGTGCTTTATTTCATACACTAAGCCTACATAGAAGACAGCTTCCATCTCTCAAAAAAAACCCCCAAAACAAAACAATCCCACAAACCACCCCCAAAAAAACAACCCACACAAAAAACACCAAAACCCACTCAACCCCCCCATAACATTCTGCAGAAAAAAACTCTATCAAATTCAGTTCGTTTGCAAAAGCAACAAGTGTGATACTTGTTTTTAATTTGTGCAGTAAAAGACACAAGCCAAAGAATACTATTTGCTCTGTTTGCAGTCGTATCAGAGGACATGGAATGACACAGCTAGATTTCATGAATGGAAATCAGTTATGCAATCTGACTGTGTTTCACTAGGAAAACCAGGAAAACTCATAGCCAAGTTACTAGACTGAATTTGGTACTTAGCTTGGAAGCTCTATTATGCTTTTACGTCTGAGGACAGCTGATACCTCAGGATGGGGATATGCTATCAGGAGAATTCCAGTAGAAGAGACAAAAACTACAGGAAAAGCAATACCATTTTAAGATTTCAGAAAGGCTTTAACTTAATTTTGCAATTTCAGTGATACATCCCCAGTGCAAATTCCCAGTTCCTTGTCTTTTAAGTCTGACAAAAAGAGAGCAGTGGATATTTTGCACCTTGACTTTAGCAACACCTTGGACACACTCTTCCATAGTATCCAGATAGCCAAATCAGTAAGATAAGGACTGGACAAATGGACAACAAAATGGCTGGACTGTCCAGCTCGAAGGGTTGTGATTAGTAGTACAAACACTAAGCAGAGTTGCCAGTAAGTCAGGCAGGGAAAGGTGGGGTGGTGCTGTCAATATTGTGAACAACACTGTTTTTACATCTTCATTTATACTCTGGACAATGGGATGGAAAGCAGCTGCAGCAAGTTTACGAATAACACCAAAGCAGGGAGAGCTGCCAATAGACTATTGGCAGGGGGGCCACTCAGAGGGACCTCTGCAGGTTGGAGATACGGTTTGACAGGAACCTCTTGAAGTTCAACAAAAGTAAATGTGAAATCCTGTCTCTCCACCTACTGCCCAGACAACAGTACAGACCAGAGGCCAACTGGATGAAAAGCAGTTTCGCAGAAAAGGACACAGGGGTACTGGTGGACAAGCTGGCAATGAGTCAGCAGTGTGCCCCTGCTACAAATAAAGCCAACCTTATTTTAGGCTGCGCTAGCAAGAGTGCAAACGTTAGGGAAAGTGATTCTTTCCATCTACTGGCTGTTTGTGAGACCACACCTGGAGTACTGTGTGCAGGTTTGGGCTCCGCTCTACAAGAGACAACAATATACTGGAGCAAGCCCAGAATATGGCCACCCACTTGATTATGAGACTGGATCACATGATGCACAACGAGAAGCTGAGAGAAATGGGTTCGTTCGACCTTAGGAAGACACACCTGCGTGGAAACTCATGGGAGAATATAGAGAAGGCAGAGCAGAGTGCTGTGCACTTGTCTGCAAGAGCACACAGCACAAGGACAAAAGGCAACAGGCACAAGTTGCGGCAAGTAAAGTTCTGATCAGAGAGACCTGCTTGACTTCTGATGAACTTCCACATGTATTTGAACGTTGTCACACACGTTTGGCAGCGCTTGCTTCAAGTCCCCGGCGGCTTCATCCATCCTTCTCGCTCCTAGGGGGAAAGCAACACCAAGGAGAAGGAGGGCTTTCAGCAACCGCTGCACGCCAACGGCACAACCGGTCCTGCCCGGCACGAGAGACACCGCGCCCCGCCCACGTGCACCCCGCCCAGCGCGGGGACCGGCACTTCCCTCCCCTCCTCGGGAGAGGGCGAC